CCTGTCGTTAATGACGGGCATCGTCGTTAACTGAGAGGATCGTCGTTAATGGACGGATCGTCGTTAAGGTAATGGATCGTTCCGTTAATGACCGGGATCGTCGTTACATGCAAGGTATCGTTCGTTAAAATGAGTGATCGTTCTCCGTTAATGAAGCGGATCGTCGTTAATGAAGCGATCGTCCGTTAATGAAGGGGAGCGTCGTTAATGAAGGATCGTCGCTTAATGAAGGGATCGTCGTTAATGAAGAGATCGTCGTTAATGAAGGATCGTTCCGTTAATGAAGGCGATCGTTGTTATGAAGCGGGAATCGTCGTTAATGAAGGGAACGTCGTTAATGAAGGGATTGTCGTTAATGAAGGAATCGTCGTTAATGAAGGGAACGTCGGCGGCGGTGGCGGTTGTTAACCACGGCGGCTGGCTTCTATCGGGGTGGGTGGAGGAGGAGGAGATGTGGTTCTGGAACCGCCGAGCGCGAGCGGATATCTGCGTGTGAGATCTCCTGGCGCGAATTCACGGCCAGCGTTCACGGCCAGCGCGAAAGACGGCCGCAGTGGCTACACATTGAGCAAACGCACGTGCGTGCGCACGTAGCCACGTACACACATGCACACACGTACACGCACGCACGCACGTACACACACGCATGCACACACACGCATGCACACACACATGCACACACACGCACGCACACACACACACGCACACTCACATGTGCACGGATGCATCCGTGCATGCACATGTACACACGCACGCATGCGCGTACGCACATTCACACACACACATACACACACGCACGCACGCACGCACGCATACACGCACGTACACACACGCACGCACGTAAGTACACACGCACGCACACACATGTACACACATGCACAGACGTAACCGCGCACACGCACGCACGTACGCACACACACATGCACGCACGTACGCACACACACATGCATACAGCACATATAACTATAAGCGAGCGTACATGAGGAACATTCCGATGATAACCTATCTGCAGGAGGAGACAACGCGAGAGCCGTGTGTACACGACACGGCGGGCCACGACCGCGTAAACACACACTACGCGTCAGGTCGCAACAGTCACCACATCTGCCCTTTATCTCTCTTGCTGCAGGAAAAGGAAGGTTGTATACAGCAAGCGCGAGTTCAGAAACGCACGCGTGTACGCGCGCGCGTACAGCCTGCACCAGCGACTTGTTCTAACACCGTTACGTGACAGTCGCCCCCCCCCCCCTCTCCCCACACCCACCCCACGGTTTACCGCCACCACCGGCTACACGATTTTCGCTCGGCTTCACCTACGCGCGGCAAAAAAACAGATGCAGCGGATCTCGGGCTGAGCTGCTGCCGCCGCCGCCGCGCCGACCACATGTTTGTGCCGCCTCACATAACCCACGCAAGCGTGCAGCAGCAACCGGCACCGGGAGTCAGGACATACAAACGCCGCGGCCACGTGCACGTACGTGTGTGCACACGCAACCTACGCGCAGCACAGTCAGCCGTGATCATAAACACTGCGCGTGTTTCTAACCTGAGAAATCAATATTTTTCCCCCTACTCCCCTCCCGTCCGGTACCAGTGAGACAGCGAGAGGGAGAGAGAGTGAGAGAGAGAGAAAGGGAAACAGAGACAAAGAGAGAGAGAGAGCGAGAGAGGAAGGAAGGGAGGGACGGCGAGAGAGAGGGGTGGAGAGAGAGAGGGAGAGAGAGCAAAAGAGAGAGAGCAGTTAATACGGGGGCGAGTGCATGAGAGCTCCTGCCGCCAGAACTCACGCAACGATTTACAACGCCGCGCTCACTCCCGCGGCTCGTCGTGGAGACACACACCTCAGTCTTCCTCCTCGTCATCGCAGCAGGGCTGCTCAGCTTCCCCGCTAGCTTCTGCTTACGTACAGCAGCACCGGCATCTCCGGAGGAAGCTGCAGGAGAGCTAAGCTTCACCTGCAGCGGCAGCTTCTCCTCCCTCCTCCGAGAGTCCCGCCCGACCCTCCCACCGCTTTCGCTTCTCGCAGTTTCCTGCCGGGCGCGCTCTTTTGTTTCGGGCGACTCGGATGAAGCCGGACGGCTCACTGCGACGTCAAAACCTCGCGAGACGAGCATCCCAAGAACAGTCGGCGCAGCATCCTCCGCATCGTCACGGCAACCGTCCTGACGACGTCGCGCGACCGCGTTCTCGATTGGTGAGAATTTCTGTCGACCACAGAGATTTTTGGCCGGGACATCGCCACTACGAGCATCTCTACTCGC